TTTTTTTCAGGTATAACGAAATTGGGTAGATCTAAGTCTTTGATAAACCTAGCAAGCTGCCATGAGAGTGTCGGAACCTTTTCTCTGGGTATGAAATCCTTCCTTTCAGTTTCCTGTGGTCTGAAACGACTTGAATTTATAATGTTGTTTCTAATGGAGAAATTTATTATTATAATTAATAACAAATATACATTATAATTTTTTATTTTTTTTTCTAAGCTAACAATTTGCATCGTTGTTCGATAGATCACTTGTTGGTTTATCATTATAATTGTTGATATCATTTTCTGTAAGCCGAGTTAAGCGACACTAATCCGTTGATCGAGACCAATATGATGATGATTAGAGTTCATACGAGCACGAGACACTTCCACCAGCTTCAAGATGATTACACAATGAAAGATTTAGCGGAAACCGATATCCTTACTAAGCTGACCGATGTCACATGTCGGTCAACACATGTCGGTCAACACATGTCGGTCAACACATGTCGGTTACTACATGTCAGCCACGACGTATCGGTTGTAACTAGGTGGACCGATATCTATAACATGCCAGCTCAGCATGGTAAGGCGGTGACAACTCAGCATAATTCATCATTACGCTTATCCAAGTGGCAAGCTAACAAGAGGAGCCATCAAAGACCGCCTTTGACCTTTCAAATGTAATGATTATTGTACAGATAATTATGGTATGTAAATATAAAAGGGAAATAGAGAATTTCCCAAACACACAGGAATACCACACTACTACAAATTACATTCTCGGAAATAATATACGGGTTTTTCCTTCGCTAAATATTTAGATTTATTTAAAATACACCCCAATTTGGTTGTTGTTAATTCCCATGTAACAACAGTTTGGCGCTAGAGGAAGGGCGTTTGAAACCTTTGCGTCATATTTCATTTGCTGTTTAAACCATTTGCATACTCAGAATCACCATGTCACAGTCTGGGCGAGACCATGCTCCTCACCCTGGACAGAGCCATTCAACTAATCATTCCCCGCGGCGTACAACGCCACCACCTCCGGCCGCGAATGTCACAAGCTTTCTTCACAACCCGGAGTTCATACAGGGTTTGT